GTTTGTGATCGAAGTTCAGCTTTGTGTTTGGATACTTCTCGGCCTCTGTGGGAGTTAAATGTTACAAAAGGAGCTTATATCACAAATGATATAACACCAGCAGTTTAATATGACGGAACAAATATATAAGAGACTTTCACATTTCTAATAAAATGTGTTAAGGACACAGGCTGTCAGCAAAAAACTAAACCAGTTTCCCACTGAAGGGGAATGACCACATGCTGATGAACAGAACTCAGAGTGTCTGGTTTTGGGGAAACTGATGTTCAGCCTGTCACACATAATCTCTTTATCTCAGTGTTCACTCCACAAGGCTGGATTGTCCTTGATAAGAGCGGCAGCTTTACAATCAGCCTCTCTGTCAGCACACTCAGACAATCTAATTAAAGAAAGACGCATGCTGTCACACATTGTCTCCAAGCATATACGGAGGCACTTCATTAAATAATCTCTTTTAGGATCGGCCGATGTCAATTAAATTGTCTTAGATGTGAAACAATGGGATGATGTAGTATACGCTGGGTTCAACATTGGGCCAACCTTAATCCCTTTACCCTGAAAAGACAACTGCATCCTATCGTAGCCTGGCATCAAGCTAGCGCACAGGAACGATCAGTTATAGTGGATTAGACTCAGCTCGCTAAAAAGCAGCTAGTTTAGGAGAAGTGGGGGTAAAGCTGTGTTTTAACTAAGAACTTGTGCAGAGTTCATGAATTAAGAATGAATTGAGAATTCAGACACAACACATGATTGAGGCTCCCAGAGAACGTGTGTTCGTTTCCTGTATAATATCCTGTTTGTAAAAATGGAGGGGAACATTTTAAAGTGATGTAACATATGAAAGTTACTCCTCTTCATCAAATACAAAGTTGGATTTTGTCAACTTAGTTCATGTTGCTATTGCAGTTTACTGACCTCATGGTTGTGTAAAGAGCTATCAGTCACTCACTCTGGACACTGATGTATCCTCACTGACATGTGAACCTTTGTACAACTGAAATTGACAACAGTCATCGCTGTGGACACAGTTTTTTTTTATCCCTTTGTGTGAATGTTTGAGGGAATGATCAGTTGTGTAAAATGTGATTTCAGACACATCCTATGATTCTTCTCTTCCTGTGCTTCGCACTGTAGTCTAATATTTAACATTATCCAACAACGTGTGGCCGCAGCAGCAGCAGATTCCAGTAATACTCACAGTGTTGCTTTAAAAATCCCTAAAAATCAGGCAGACATTCCCACCTCAATTCGATTACTTAGAATTATCATTGGGCAAATTCTGATGTCTGATTTCTAATATAGTGACACATATACAGAACAACAGGACTTTAAGTTGGGATTCTTTAGTTTGCATGCTATTTGGAAATTGTTATGCCAAATATAGTATGAATGAAAAATATCAGGTGCAAACCTTATTTTGAGGGTACAATTGTTGCCTGATGTGCATTTAATCTCTCTCATTTAGTCTGTACACGTTTCACCTTGTGCTGCTGCAGCCCTTAACCTAATGGCCTTCCACTCATTCTTGGTCTGTTAACAGTGTTATGGAAATGTCACTCAGTGCGACCGAGTAACATTGTAACCTTTACAGCCTGTTCTATGTGGCTCAGGTGCTTATTCACACATGTGACCGACAAGTTAAATAGCCATCGGGTTAACATACAAGGGTGCGTGCATGAGAGGGACAACCAGTCCCTCGTTTCCCATGTTTTTTCTTCTGGACAAATACAGAATTTAAGGTGCTTTTCCAGTTTGGCTACAAATTGTTTATTTCAACACACATTCTTAGATATTGCATAATAACCCAGGGCAATTTTGTCCCTATTATAAATTGCTATTAACATTCTTACCTGTTAGCAGCTGTTTGTTCAAGTTGGCTCGGTCTACTGACAGGATGTACTAAAAGGAGAACAATCTATTAAAGTGCAGCTCAATCCTTCATCTTCACACTGTTCATTTAAAATGAGAACAGCTAGAACTGTCTCCCCAAGTTCTCAAAGTTTGTCTTGTATATTTTTGTTCTATTTAATCATGTAAATCCGAGTTAGACTAATCTCTGCCAAACTGGGGCAGTGTAATGAAAAACAAGTATTTGCAGATCAACTAATCGTACCAATCCCAGGAACTAATGTGACATTATGTGATATTAATGTGACAAATCTTATTTTAGACGAAGTTGTAACTTGCAGTGATCATCATTTGGTGAATTCCTGAATCATTTCACATCTCTGTGTGTTCATGCATACTGTAGCTTCTTTGTCTGTCTGTTACTGTTTGCTTACAAACCTTGGAGATTAAATATAAATATTTCATCTGCAGACTGACTCAGTGGACATGATGCGATTATTAGAATATGTTTACCTACAACAACACAGTTGTAACATCATCGTAGTAGAATATCTCTTACATTATTAAACAGTGGAGATTCTAACAATGTACTAGTCTTACTGTTAGAGCACATTCTCACTGAACTGTTTGTACAAAACTGAGACTTATTAGAATTTGATCAAATGTGTTTGCTTACTTTACACCAATAGCAGCTTACCTGGCCTTTCTTGCCATACGGGATCGGAGACTGTTTCCCACTCGGTGAGTGGATCATTCTTGCATGCATGGGAATTCCTTGTGACACTATCTGAGGAAAAACAAATAACCACAGAAGATCAAAATTGCCATTTATTACCATTAAGAATAAAAAGTCTGTATAGTTTCATTTTTTACATAGCCTCTTTTTTTTAAAGGATTTTGAGTCATAGATCATTAGGGGAAAGAAATGGTATTGTGCCAAGGACAGTCCAGCTCGCACTCAGTATCTGCCGTTGAGAGTATATAAACTCCTCAACCTTTAAAACCTTGTTTTCTCAGGCTGAAAAGTCAATGAAGTGTAAAAAAGATGGTCTGATGCAGAGTTACCAGGCGTGCATAACATGCTCAGAGCAGCAAATATGGACCAACAAAAACAGAGACTGCTGACCTTAAATTCAATGAGGGAAAGAAATTGTGAAGTGCAAGAGGAAAAGCAGGGTGCACAGACTTCCACCTGCCCTGACTTCAGTGTATCACTGTTGGATGTGAGAGGACTAACATGTGTACTAACAGGAATTATGGATGACCTACATAATTATATGCTAGCAACCTGACAGAACCTCTCACCTCATATGTATTTTACTTTACCGTACTTGGCTATCCAATGAGCTTACCTTCTCCTCCATCCCAACATGCTTCAGTGCTTGTCGGCCCCTGTGAGACAAAGCCAGGTTGATGCTTCTCCCCTTCACAATTTTGGCTTGGCGGATATCTGACCAAAGCACACAACACGTCTTAGAAGAATGTTTCAGTTAAGAAGCAAAGCAAATCCCTCTGTGTGGATGCATTATGAGACACGGGTGGTGTAAAAGTGTGAGCTAATGGGAGAGGAAACTGAAGAGCTTTACCTTCCCTAGTTTCAAAGACTTTCACATCAAAGCCTCGTTTGGCAAAGAAGCAGGCGTTCAGTGCCCCGACCTGAAGGGGTGAAGAGGAATGTGGACCTGTGAATTTTACACTGCCACACATAAAGAATTATTCGCTAACTATATAATATTAGCAGAAACACTCCTTAACACTGTCTTGTGACCTTATATTCTTCACTCCACGCGTGCAAATGCAATTGCCACATTGTCCAAAAAATTAAAGGCTCACTTTCCCTTCCCACTTTAGAGGAAGTGTCCCCTTCCTAAGACACTTGCCTTCTTAAAAATTAAATGATAAGAAATCAAAAGTCAAAATCTGCAGCTTGATATTTCACTTTCATTTTCGTCTTACCAAACCACCTCCCACCACTGCTACAACTTTCCTCTTGGTTGGTCCCTCGGCTGATTTCTCCATTGTACCTCTGGTCTCTCTGGTGGTCTGACCCTCTCTCTTCTCAGCTCAGACTGATTTACACAACTTGCTTGTTTGGTCTGTTTAAAGAGGAGGAGCAGAGTGACAGCCACTCTCGAAATCAGTTCCCCTTTCAGAGTAAACCCACGAGACTGATAACAGTGTCTGAAAACACACTCTGGTGTCGGAGGGTCTGAAGCAGTAACTTACCAACTTACTCAATGAGCAGATTTCCCTGTTATCTGTCTCAGAGAACCACAGCCTCCCTTTTGGACATTAAACCTGCGAGAGCAAAACACTTTAAACTGATAGATGTGTCAATAGAATTATGAAATTGTAGCCTGTGTCTCATCCTTTTTGGCAAAATGACTAATACTTAACTCTTATACATTTGTATTAGTATAGTTGTTTCTTTTTCAGGGGGCACATGTAACTGTAACGTACTGAGCTGACTATTGTAATGGATTACTTCTGTGAAGTGACATATCGTCACTGTGGTGCACAGGCAATGGTCTTTGTCGCCATCTAGTGGCTATAAGATGGCTCTGCACACTCATAACGGATAAAGCGCGCATAGTAAATATTATAAATAAATAAATGTCAGCATCGATCCATTATATTTTGGTAAAAAGCGAACAGATGGTTCACAATGAGTTTAAAAGCAACACAAGAGTACACAATCCTGGTACTACATTTCTTAATTTGTCATCAAATTAAATAAAATAAAAAATAAAATCACGACATTAAGAGCACAATGAATATAAGAAAATTGACGTTTAACAATTAAAACTAAATACGTAATATTAGCTTGAAAATGTGTTCGTCCGACTCATCACTTCATATTTATTTATTTATTCACTGTTGGATTGGATCCAGGCTCTGAACGGATGTGACGCACTGAATGTTAAATTGTAATCCGCTCGCAGCCTAAACAATCGATATCAGAATCAATGACACGACGCGATTTTCAGAAAACGCTTTAGCGATGTGCTAAATGTCAGTGAATTAAAATGTCCATATCTGTATACTTAATATAATTAGAAGACTTCGTCGTGGTTGTACGTATCAGTTGCTTAATCTATCGGAGGATCGATGGACCGATAGTTAAATCACGATCTGCTCAAGGTTCGATTAGCTGGGTCTAGTCTAAGATGGCGCTGTAAGAGCGCAGGTTTGTTTTCCATGGGTGTAAAGTATGTTTAAGTGCATTAACAGATCGGCCCAGTGTTCCAGATACCTCCAGTCAGCAGGTACCGGTTTCTGTCCTAATCAAGATTTTAGGTGAGTGTTGTCAGACACAGGCTTTTGAAAAACTACGGAATTATTTTTCACGACACGCAGCTACTTAACTAGCATACGAGCTCACGTTAGCAGCTTGGGTTGATAAAGCCGGTTAGTTGACCGGCTAGCATCACTGGTTAGCTCTGTTAGCTAGCATGGTTCGCGTCCGGGATACCTATATAACTGGACGAGTTACACTTTACAACAGTAAGTGATTGTATATATTAGCATCAAGTTAAACAAGCCAACCCCGCTGCCACTATGATGCACGTTATATTCTCTTTATCGTTTGATAGATGAAGCTAACGCTAGTGTTCCTCCTGTGAGGGGGATTAATGTCCTCTGGTTAGCGAGCTACACGGCTAATCTCCACTGTGCTAGATGAGAAGCACCAATATTCCTCATTTTAATTCACTTATTTCAACAGGGATTGTTCGTGTTTCTGTCGAAAAGGTTCTTTAAACCTGGTCGGGCTGTAGTATTTTCTACATTTGAGTAGTACCTCCAAGTAAATATACAACCTGTATAAAAATATTATTTAGCTGGAATTCTGAAACATTTGATCACATTTACATTTTTTCCACATGTAAATAAATAAATGAACTTGCTTCCTTTAAAAAATGGGCTACATCAAACATGAGAGGAAGAGCATTTGCTCTCACAGTGATTACCAGTGTATTTCAGTGGTGCCCGGAGTTTAATGTCGCTGTAAACCTCACTTCTGACCGGAAACTAGTGTCTCTCTCACGCTGTCAGGTGGCAGTTTATTAGGTACACCTAGTGTAAACTAATGCACTTTAATTCGGCTGTTCCATAATACTGTAAATCCTATCTTGACGCAAGAAGGGTGTAGTTTGTGGTGCTGTCAAACCATATTGCATTATTCAACATTTCTAGTTGTTTGTGATATTCAGTGTACGTACCCACACTGATGTACATTTCCGAGCAATAGTTTGCATCTCCCTTAGATCCTCATATATTTAATTTAAATACTCTATTGAACAATTAATCCTCAGTATGGTCTTCCATAATAAGGTTTCTCCTGTACAAGTTTTTTTATGGGGTGGCCTCAGCATTTATTGCAAGAATTTAAAAGCTCAAAGGTTGTTTT